AAAGTATAGTAGTACCAACACTCTTATATGGGTGTGAAGCTTGGGTTGTAAATGCTGCAGCGAGGAGGTGGCTGGAGGCAATGTCTAAGGGCAATGTGTGGTGTAAATATTGTGCAGAAAATTCGGAGTGTGGAAATTAGGAGGTGTGGAGTTAATAAAAGTATTAGTCAGAGGGCTGAAGAGGGGTTGTTGAGGTGGTTTGGTCATTTAGAGATAATGGATCAAAGTAGAATGACATGGAGAGCGTATAAATCTGTAGGGGAAGGCAGGGTAGGGGTCGTTGCTGAAAAGGTTGGAGGAAGGGGGTAAAGGAGGTTTTGTGGGTGAGGGGCTTGGACTTCCAGCAAGCATGCGTGAGCGTGTTAGATAGGAGTGAATGGAGACGAATGGTATTTGGGACCTGACGAGCTGTTGGAGTGTAAGCAGGGTAATATTTAGTGAGGGGATTCAGGGAAACCAGTTATTTTTATATAGCCAGACTAGAGTCCAGGAAATGGGAAGTACAATGCCTGCACTTTACAGGAGGGGTTTGGCATATTGGCAGTTTGGAGGGATATCTTGTGTATCTTCATACGTATGTGCTTCTAAACTGTCTGAGCACCTCTGCAAAAACAATGATTATGTGTGAGTGAGGTAAAAGTGTTGAATGATGATGAAAGTATTTTCTTTTTGGGGATTTTCTTTCTTTTTTGGGTCACCCTGCCTTGGTGGGAGATGGCCAACTTGTTAAAAAAAAAAAAAAAAAAAATTACAATCAATGAATCAATTTTACTGTGAATATCATTAATGTCTTATATACTACATGTAAAATATTATCTCATCACATTCTGTAACAATACAGGTAACTAGTTTCACTCTTATTGTAATTTTTATTAAAAGTTTATTTTGAATTAATGGAATAATCTTAATATAGTTCTTAATCCCATGTAACTTACTATAATTTTATCTAGTTAATATACATTTTTTAAATACTATTATGTAATATGTTTTATTGTGAAAAATCATTACTGCCCTTTATTTAAATATACAGTGGACCCCCGCTTAACGATCACCTCCAAATGCGACCAATTATGTAAGTGTATTTATGTAAGTGCGTTTGTACGTGTATGTTTGGGGGTCTGAAATGGACTAATCTACTTCACAATATTCCTTATGGGAAAAAATTCGGTCAGTACTGGCACCTGAACATACTACTGGAATGAAAAAAGTTCGTTAACCGGGGGACCACTGTATATTTTTATTTACATATTTTTTTAAATTTGCCCAAAATGCTCTGCATAACTAACGGACTTTCTGTGTGGGAGAGGTAATGTCACATAATTTTGTACAAATGGTGTATCATGTGAAAACAGATTGATTGACTAATTGAAACCACATGAATAAAAATATGGTACTCATAATTCAGAACATTCTTTACCTTTTAAAAGCAGATAATGAAATACGGCCGCTCCTCACTATACGATGGAGTTCCATTCCTGACACCATGTCGTTAAACGAATTTGTCGCTAAGTGAGGAATATACTATAATACTAGAGTGAAACACTAGAAATACTAGAGCGAAACAAAGCTGAAGGGGGTAGGAGAGTTTCAGTGGGGGGAAATAAATGGGATTAAATCTGGAGTATCTGAGAGAGTTAGAGCAAAGGAAGGGGTAGCAGTAATGTTAAATGATCAGTTATGGAAGGAGAAAAGAGAATATGAATGTGTAAATTCAAGAATTATGTGGATTAAAGTAAAGGTTGGATGCGAGAAGTGGGTCATAATAAGCGTGTATGCACCTGGAGAAGAGAGGAATGCAGAGGAGAGAGAGAGATTTTGGGAGATGTTAAGTGAATGTATAGGAGCCTTTGAACCAAGTGAGAGAGTAATTGTGTAGGGGACCTGAATGCTAAAGTAGGAGAAACTTTTAGAGAGGGTGTGGTAGGTAAGTTTGGGGTGCCAGGTGTAAATGATAATGGGAGCCCTTTGATTGAACTTTGTATAGAAAGGGGTTTAGTTATAGGTAATACATATTTTAAGAAAAAGAGGATAAATAAGTATACAAGATATGATGTAGGGCGAAATGACAGTAGTTTGTTGGATTATGTATTGGTAGATAAAAGACTGTTGAGTAGACTTCAGGATGTACATGTTTATAGAGGGGCCACAGATATATCAGATCACTTTCTGGTTGTAGCTACACTGAGAGTAAAAGGTAGATGGGATACAAGGAGAATAGAAGCATCAGGGAAGAGAGAGGTGAAGGTTTATAAACTAAAAGAGGAGGCAGTTAGGGTAAGATATAAACAGCTATTGGAGGATAGATGGGCTAATGAGAGCATAGGCAATGGGGTCGAAGAGGTATGGGGTAGGTTTAAAAATGTAGTGTTAGAGTGTTCAGCAGAAGTTTGTGGTTACAGGAAAGTGGGTGCAGGAGGGACGAGGAGCGATTGGTGGAATGATGATGTAAAGAGAGTAGTAAAGGAGAAAAAGTTAGCATAATGAGAAGTTTTTTACAAAGTAGAAGTGATGCAAGGAGGGAAGAGTATATGGAGAAAAAGAGAGAGGTTAAGAGAGTGGTGAAGCAATGTAAAAAGAGAGCAAATGACAGATTGGGTGAGATGTTATCACACAAATTTTGTTGAAAATAAGAAAAAGTTTTGGAGTGAGATTAACAAGTTAAGAGAAAGCCTAGAGAACAAATGGATTTGTCAGTTAAAAATAGGAGAGGAGAGTTATTAAATGGAGAGTTAGAGGTATTGGGAAGATGGAGGGAATATTTTGAGGAATTGTTAAATGTTGATGAAGATAGGGAAGCTGTGATTTCGTGTATAGGGCAAGGAGGAATAACATCTTGTAGGAGTGAGGAAGAGCCAGTTGTGAGTGTGGGGGAATTTTCGTGAGGCAGTAGGTAAAATGAAAGGGGGAAAGGCACCCGGGATTGATGGGATAAAGATAGAAATGTTAAAAGCAGGTGGGGATATAGTTTTGGAGTGGTTGGTGCAATTATTTAATAATGTATGGAAGAGGGTAAGGTACCTAGGGTTGGCAGGGGGAGCATGCTAGTTCCTTTGTTATAAAGGCAAAGGGATAAAAGAGTGAAAAAAATTATAGGGGGATAAGTCTGTTGATTTATACCTGGTAAAGTGTATGGTAGAGTTATAATTGAAAGAATTAAGAGTAAGACGGAGATAGGATAGCAGATGAAAAAGGAGGCTTTAGGAAAGGTAGGGGGTGTGTGGACAGGTGTTTACAGTGAAACATATAAGTGAACAGTATTAGATAAGGCTAAAGAGGTCTTTGTGGCATTTATGGATTTGGAAAAGGCATATGAAGGGTGGATAGGGGGGCAATGTGGCAGATGTTGCAAGTGTATGGTGTAGGGAGGTAGGTTACTGAAGCAGTGAAGAGTTTTTACGAGGATAGTGAGGCTCAAGTTAGAGTATGTAGGAAAGAGGGAAAATTATTTCCCAAATAAAAAATAGGCCTTAGACAAGGATGTGTGATGTCACCGTGGTTGGGTTTTAATTATTTTACAGATGGGGGGTTTTAAGAGAAGTAAATGCGGGGTCTTGGCAAGAGGCGTGGAGTTAAAAGATAAAGAATCACACACAAAGTGGGAGTTGTCACAGCTGCTCTTTGCTGATGACACTGTGCTCTTGGGAGATTCTGAAGAGAAGTTGCAGAGATTGGTGGATGAATTTGGTAGGGTGTGCAAAAGAAGAAAATTAAAGGTGAATACAGGAAAGAGTAAGGTTATGAGGATAACAAAAAGATTAGGTGATGAAAGATTGGATATCAGATTGGAGGGAGAGAGTATGGAGGAGGTGAACGTATTCAGATATTTGGGAGTGGACGTGTCAGAAGATGGGTCTATGAAAGATGAGGTGAATCATAGAATTGATGAGGGAAAAAGAGTGAGTGGTGCACTTAGGAGTCTGTGGAGACAAAGAACTTTGTCCTTGGAGGCAAAGAGGGGAATGTATGAGAGTATAGTTTTACCAACGCTCTTATATGGGTGTGAAGCGTGGGTGATGAATGTTGCAGCGAGGAGAAGGCTGGAGGCAGTGGAGATGTCATGTCTGAGGGCAATGTGTGGTGTGAATATAATGCAGAGAATTCGTAGTTTGGAAGTTAGGAGGAGGTGCGGGATTACCAAAAACTGTTGTCCAGAGGGCTGAGGAAGGGTTGTTGAGGTGGTTCGGACATGTAGAGAGAATGGAGCGAAACAGAATGACTTCAAGAGTGTATCAGTCTGTAGTGGAAGGAAGGCGGGGTAGGGGTCGGCCTAGGAAAGGTTGGAGGGAGGGGGTAAAGGAGGTTTTGTGTGCGAGGGGCTTGGACTTCCAGCAGGCATGCGTGAGCGTGTTTGATAGGAGTGAATGGAGACAAATGGTTTTTAATACTTGACGTGCTGTTGGAGTGTGAGCAAAGTAACATTTATGAAGGGATTCAGGGAAACCGGCAGGCCGGACTTGAGTCCTGGAGATGGGAAGTACAGTGCCTGCACTCTGAAGGAGGGGTGTTAATGTTGCAGTTTAAAAACTGTAGTGTAAAGCACCCTTCTGGGAAGACAGTGATGGAGTGAATGATGGTGAAAGTTTTTCTTTTTCGGGCCACCCTGCCTTGGTGGGAATCGGCCAGTGTGATAATAATAAAAATAATAAATAACTAGAGTGTTTGTGTCAACCATTTTTGACATTGTTTTAATGTCACCTTTGCACCATTTATAACATTTCTGGTATATTTTTAAATGTTTATACAGAAGTGTACTGTATATTGAAATAAACAGAATAGAGGAAATCAGCTCTAATATGCATTATTTAGGTATGAGTACTGGTCACAGAGCCCGTCATAAGTCCGAGGCGTCAGTAAATGAGTACGTCGCTAAGTGAGGAGAGGCTGTACAAGAAAAATTAATCAGAATGATCTTCAATTGCATCTTATTTATATCAAACAAAAGGAATTTATGTAACACTATATAGTACTATATAGTAGTATAAACACCTTACAGTGCTCACCTGAACTAGCCAAATGAGTCCCCTCTGGCTGTCTCTATCGATTTTTTCTTCCCAGTCCTTACGCGAGTATTGCAGATAATTAGATTCCAAGTACTTTGATCGGTAAAATCCTTCATTAAACTGAAGGTGTCTCATGGGAAGCTTGCCACTTAGTGATTTGATGAAAAGTAGTGACATAGACAGCAAGAAAAGCCCGGTGGCCATCATCAAATAAACCCTACGTCCTCTCGGAGTTACTGCTCTCACTAATAAGTTAGCCATCTGAAACAATAACACAAAGCACATATTAGTAGATACAACAGGGATCTAAGTAATTTATTAGTCACAGTACAAAATTTCCATTAAAGATTTGAGAGTGAGCTTGAGATATTTTATTTCAAATCACATCATATACAGTGGACTCTCAGTTATCAGCAGTTCCTGTTATCGGCCAGTTTTTCAGCTCCTGGTGATCAGCCGTTATTTCGATGATTGGCCATTTCTAGGGAATAACAGCCCTCTCCCTATATGCATCACCACATCCACTCACACAACCACATTCACCACAACCACACATTACACTGATACCACAGCAACACACCCCTTGTGCATACCCAACCCCAGAGACGAGCCCATTCCATCCCCTGAACTTCACCCCCCCGTCACAACGCTAACAGCGCTCTCACATTCATATTACAATACCCCACTGGGAAAGCCTGGTCCCAGCTACTTCCATAAATCCCCCTATTACAACACGTTCTATAAATGGTCGCCGCCAACACCCTCTTGCGCACTTCCCAATCCCCATTCCCTCTCATCGCCCAGGATACAAAAACAAAATCCACAATTATATACGTGATTGCACGCTGCACAGATGCCTCCACGCCTCCCACATCCAGACTTAACGCCTTCAATACTGATATCCCTCCCCCCCACTATCCCCAGAACCTTACCCATCCATTCCCTGATACCCACTAAATTATCACAAAAATACACTACATGAAATGCCGTCTCTCTATCCCCGCACACCCGACACTCGCCCTCCACCATCAACCCTTTTTCCCTAAGCGCAACACCCGACGGCAGTATACCATGGAGAAAACGGAACAATACCTCTCGCACCTTTGGTTGCACGCGCATCAACCATAACCTCTCCCACATATCCTCCCACGCATACATCGGGTAAATACCCTCAGCCTTCGCGACCACCTTTGGCCCTACGGCACGCTCTAAAACACCCACCTGAACTTTAGTAGGTTCCTGAACATACAGCAACGCCCTCAACACATCCTCACACACTCTCATCTCCGACCCTCCCCACCACATTCGCACTTCTTCATGTAAATCATTCACACCCCTCCCCTCATGTCCCTGCACATGGCGTAACCTCCACTTTAAATAAATACACTTGACTCTCAGCCGTAAATCAATCATCTCCAATCCACCTCTGTTGACTGGTAGCATAACCACACTCCTACTCAACCATTCACACCCAGAACCCCAAAGAAAATGGAAAACCCTCCTAAACAGCCTCGTAACATCCGGACCTGCTAACGGATATACAGCTGCCATGTGCCAGACTTTACTATATAACAACACATTTACAACAATCGCACGCTGATGTATTGTCAAATGAGTTGGTCTCAGCCCATCCAATCGCCCCACCACTCGATCCACAAGTCCAGAATTAACCATCCTCACCTATCTCGCACTGCCCATATACGTACACTATCCCACACACTTTTATCCTGTCCACCATATTCCAACATACATTCCATCCCCAACTCTCCCTCCCCACCCAATGTCCTAAGACCAGCAATTTTGATTTCCCCACATTCACTCTTAAACCGGTAACCCCCACAAAACTATCAATAACATCCTCTACCGCACGTAAACTCCCCAGCATTCTCATGAGAATTGTCATGTCATTCACGTACCCTATTATTCCCTGCTCTCCACTCCCCACTCCCCAATCCATCCCCACACACGCTCCCACCACTCTACAGAATGGGTCTTGTAAACAGGCAAACAACAATTGAGACAGGGGACAACCCTGCCTAATACCCCGACCCAAGGATACCCACTCCCCCAACTTCCCATTTACCTGTACACGCACTCCCACCCCTTTGTACAAGGTCTCTGCCCAACGCACCACCTCCTCCCTGAAACCCTGCCTCCTTAACCCTTTGACTGTCGCGGCCGTATATATACGTTTGTGAGGTACCGTGTTTGACGTATATATACTCATAAATTCTAGCGGCTTCAAATCAGGCAGGAGAAAGCTAGTAGGCCCACATGTGAGAGAATGGGTCTGTGTGGTCAGTGTGCACCACATAAAAAAAATCCTGGAGCACGCAGTGCATAATGAGAAAAAAAAAACTCCGACCGTTTTTTTTAATTAAAATGCCGACTTTGTGGTCTATTTTCGTATAGTATTTGTGGTTGTATTCTCGTTTTCTTGGTCTCATTTGATAGAATGGAAAACATATTATAGAAATGGAGGTGATTTTGATTAATTTTACTATAAAAAGAACCTGGAAATGAAGCACAAAGTACAGGAAATGTTTGATTTTTGCCGATGTTCAAAAGTAAACAAATGATGTCATTGTCCAATAAATGTCCAAATAGCCATTCTAATACGCAGTCATGAATGGGTTAATGTAATTTTTACAATTATTACAGTATTGCAGTAGTCTGCATAACAGTAAATCTTCTATTTTTTGTTTGAATAAAATTTCAAAATAAAAAGCAAGAGTAATATCACAGGGGCCTGGAGACATGACTGATGAACAAAGAAAATCTTATTTTAGAGCCAGGAATGTCTGCATTGTTCATTCTGGACCTTATTTTGAAATTGTCGTATTTTTTAATTTTCGTGAAATTGGCCAAATTGCAAATTTCTGACCATGTTATTGGGTAGTTGAAATCGGTAAATGGGCAGTTTCTTGTGCTCAATCGATAGAAAAAATAGAGTTCTGAAGAAATAGTTATGAGTTTGGTTGACTGGAATAACGGAATTAGCCGAAAATAGGGCTCAAAGTGGGCGAAATTGCCGATTTTTAAATATCGCCGAAGTCACTAACTTCGCGAGAGCATAATTCCGTCAGTTTTCCATCAAATTTCGTTTTTTTGGTGTCTTTACAATCGGGAAAAGATTCTCTATCATTTCATAAGAAAAAATAATTTTTTTTTTTTCGAATATTTTGCGACACCAGGAGCAACTTCAGGATTGGGCCCTTCGACAGTCAAAGGGTTAATGTGTACCACAACGCCTCACATTCCACACTATCATACGCCGCCTGCCAATCTAATGCTAAGACACCCCCTTCGGTCTCCCCTCCCAACCCTTCCACAAAATCCTTTATAATACCATGCCCGTCATACATCGTCCTCCCAGTCACTCCATATTGTCCTCTCGCAACCACTCTATCCACCACACACTTCAGCCTATTTCCCAGAATTTTTGTAAAAATCTTATAATCAGCACACAACAATGATATCGCCCTAAAGTCCCCCACTGTGTCTTGTCACTCACCTTTTGGCGCTAAAACTACAACCGCAGTCCCCTGCAACCCGCCCATTCTCCCTTCCCTTTTCATCGTATTCATCAGTTTCACTAAGAAGGTCTTCAAAACACTCCAATGGCTCACATAGAACTTGCAGGGCAAGCCATCCAAACCCGGTGCCTTACCTCATGCCATCCCCTCCAAAGCCCTCCACACCTCCCCTTCTTCAATATCCCCCCCCAATGCCATGCGATCACTGCCACTTAGCACACAAGATACATTCTCCCCCAACCCCCTGAAAGCCCTCACATCCACCCCTGCACTCAGTAAAAATCTTCCAAACCACCTATCCGCGTAATCACTCATTGCTTCCGTTGTTCTTAACTCCTGTCCCGCCCTATACCCATCTAAGTCCTCATGTACCACCAGCCTATCAATCTCCATAACCATATGGCGCTTAATCTGTCTCCATAACCATATGGCGCTTAATCTGTCTCCATAACGCACAGGCCGATGGTCGATCACCCCACACCGCCTCTTCCAATCCGCCCTGCACTCTCACCGCATCAAATCTGTCATTCTGCAAATCTTGAATTCGCCCCTTTAACAACTTGATTTCCTCCACGGAATACATCCCAGCCTGCGCGCCCCTCTCATAACAACCCTGCAACCGACCCTTGAAATACTGTTGCAGCCCATACGTCATCCAACCCTCGTACTTTCCTCATCACACATAAAACTGCCAGATCCTCTCCTTAGCTACCCCATCCCACCACCCCAGTAAATCACCCACATCCCTACCCTCTCCCCATATATCCTCCCACATTGTCCCGAAATCCAACCCCGCCTCCTCCATCCCAAGAAGTCTCACATTCAACTTCCAATACCCTGGATACCTCTTAGGCAAGCTAGCCCAAGTCAAGTCCACATAAACAGCTCTATGATCCAAGTATACAGCATCCACCATACACACGCTCATCACCCGCACACTCCTCGTTACATATAACCTATCTAGCCTGGCCGCGTAACCCCGTCTATGAAATGTGTGCTCAACCATCAAATCCTCACCTCCACAACATCCCCTAACCCCACACCCAGCAAAAGATCCCTTAGGCCAACCAAAAAACACCCTGCCCCCCGTGGCTCCACATCCCTTCTACGTACCACACAATTCCAATCTCCACCCACGATGGCTACCAAGGGAAGAGATCACAAATAATAAATCAAAACATCACACACATACTCATTCTTCACCCGTACATCACGCTCCGCCGGCGCATACACACAAACCACTGCCAGTCGCTCACCCCTCCACCACCCATCTACCCGGAGTACCCTACCCCCCTCCCCTCCCTCACATCTAATAACAACAAATGGGCTCGTCTCCCTAATCAGGATCCCAACCCCACCCTTCAAACGTTCCGAATACGCCACAAACACACGATACCCATCCACTTTCAAATCTCAACCAACCTTAAAATTATGTTCCTGCACAAACACTATATCTATGGCATAACGCCTTAAAAAACCCTGAAGCCACAGATGCTTCACATCCGCACACATCCCATTTACATTTACAGTCATACACCTGAAACCTTCGTGAAGGGTTTTACACGTTGCCCTGGAACTCCCTTCACAGGCGCATTACCAGCCTTTCAACTTTTCACACCATGCTCTCCACTGTGAGCGTGGTTTCCCCCCAGTCCAAACACCTGACCGGACACACCTGTGGTGCCTCCACGCACCACATCAACCCATGGTTTCTTCCCCAGCCTCTGCGCCGAGGTCAAGACATCATCTGAGTCAGATTGCGTTGCTGCCCTCTTTCGCCGAACACTCTCTGCATCCATGTCCTGCTCGGGAGATGCCTCATAATGTATCTCTGCTGCCACCTCGACCACGGTCACCACTCCCATTGAAGCAGCATCCGCAGTCAGCTGACTACCTCTCCTCACGTCATCACGCTCCTCTGGTCCTTCCGCCGACTGTACATTGTCCTCAGCTCTTGTCATCTCGAAAAGCCTGTCCGTCAGCTGCTCCAGAGCCACATCCTCCACCCGTTCCTCGCCATTCAGCTCAGTCTCCCCTTCCACCAAAGCGGAGACCATAGAGCCTACAAGCATTGACGGGCTCAATCCCACCGTCGGGAACTCTCTCTCCACCTCCTCGCTCCAGGAAAAACCATGGCCATGTACAGGTGTCCTGCTGACAGGCCCCGCATTTGGGTCAGACCCCTGCTCTGTCCCTCTGCCTGCATCCTGTCATTGCTGCTGTCTTCCACACAGGGCCGCCATATGGTCATAAGTGCCACATAGCCTGCAAGTCTTGCGCTGCCCTGCATAATACACCATCACTTGTGTCCGGAAGTCTTCTAGGATGACATCTTCAGGTTGAATGTACCCTCCAGCAAGCCAGCGTACGCCCCATCAGCCCAAGTACCTGCCGTCGCCAGATGCACAGTGCCATATCGTTCAAAAACGTTCCTTAGGTCCGCCTTGTTAGCCTTGAAAGGCACATTACGTACCTTCACCCAGGTGTAGTGTCTCCATACATCAATGAGACTAACTCATATTGCCGAGTTGACGTCCACACAGCCATCTTGATACTTTTCCACTAGGCGTTCATACACTGCTGTCGATCGTAACTTGACGAATATCCGGAAAGCTCCGTTGAGCGACACACCGTACAGATCTTGATCTGCAATGCCATACGTGTCGCGGATAATCATAGGTAGAATCACTTGTGCGGACTGAGGTGTAACTACACCCCGCACTAACTCAATGCACACAGTGTTGACACGCTTCCTTGCATACTGCGCCATCTTGAGAAAATCAAACTGTGCAGGAAGGCTACTCAACCAGGAGTGTGTGCGCAGCAGAACCTCTCAGCCCGAGAGCGAAGAGGTCAATTGGAGAAATGGAATTGGAATTGGATTTTTTAATTCTGTGTAAAATTGGCAAAATTACCAATAGTTGAATAGGCAGTTTCTTGTGCTCAATCGATAGAATAGAAGGCATACTGTACTAGTAAATTAGCTAATGCTGTGCTTGAATTGAGCAACCTAAATGGCTAAAACTAGGACTCAAAGTGGACAAAATCTCTGATGAGTAAATTGAATCCCCAAAAATAATTACATTACCTTTTTTTTTTTGCAATTTTGATACCAAAAAAAAGTTGTTGGCTATTTTGGAGAGATCCAATGAATGAACCGTATTGTTCCCCTATGCTCTTCAGTTTGTTTTAAGAAAATTTCTTATTACCAGCCATTTTCAAGACTGTAACTGTCATCTTAATTGGCAGTTATCTGTAACTGCAGGCAAAGCAGCTTTACTCACCCATTCCCATCACACTCTGGCTCTGCCTTCAACATAAGCCACAGCACAACTGAACTTACATCCAGGCTGCTAGTCATAAATTTTCTCCATGATATTCCTATGATTATATGTACGGTGCACCAATGAAGTAAGTTTATTCAGGTACACATAAATACAGTTACATAAATTATCATACATAGCAGCATGTGTAGCTTACCTAGGATAACCCGAAAAAAGTCAGACAAAAGTGACTTATTTCCACTGGGGTCATTGTTTATAAGTAATAAAAGTTGTATTGCTCAGTTAAACTTAAAAAATTCCTTGATGTTATGCATACATGGGTCATCACCATAAGCATTACCCAATACTATTTTACTGGTACATATTCCAAGTCATAAAAGTACATATGCAATTATTATTTATATAATACAGTAAAAAATTGCTAAACGCACATTCTTCACAAATTATTACATTCATGGAGGAAGAGCTACACCCATAAGGTAAGTATTTTTTATTTAGATACATATATAAACGTTTTCTGAATGAATTATCGATGACACAAAATATACATTTCTGTACAGAGTAAATATTTCGCCTACAATAACTGAACAGTCAATGTCAATTACTTCCATTAGGTTCGTACAGCACGTAAAAGAATGGGATAAAATCAGGTGTAAACTAAAGAGAGGGGAGGATAAATCCAGGTCATTTGATCAAGAACCCCTCACCATCATCAAAACACCTTCCTTGATTATTGTTCATAGAAGAGCACTGAACCCGTAGGGTTCATACAACAAATGGGGGGAGGAATGGGAGGCATTCAGGTTCGATGCACGGAAGGGGACAGTAGGTCCATTTCCTTGAATCAAGAGCCCCTCAACGGCATCAAGGCACCTCCCAGAAGGGTGTACGTCATAGCTCCTGCCTCAGATTACATAATGACTGACTATACTGTAAGAATACGAGTCCTATAACTCTCATTAACATCTTACCTTTGTTGAGCGTGTATGTCGCATGCATACGGAGCTGATTTTTATTTTCGGGAAATAGAACTAATTTGATTTTTTTTAAATCACATCTTGACAGCTACCCACCTCAGCTGATCCTCCCCACACTGAACTTGTATCAAGTCAGCATCATCCAAGAATCACAAATTTATTACAAATTGTATGTTAACTTTTCTAATAACAACCATTAAGGCATTTATAACGTAACCTCTCTCTCTCAGTTTTATCCTTAACTAGGCCTAATCATTATATAGTTTGTTTTTATTTAAAATATCGATATACACTCCTATGCACATATGATGCTGATATGGACTCGGGTAATGTATGCTAGAGGCGTAGGAGTAAATTTTCTTCGTCAGAGCTGGTAGTATATTTTTCCTAAACCTCAGTGAAGTATACTCAATTAATATTACTAATGAAGAATTTAAATAAGTTATGTGAAGATACTGATAACTATGGATTAGGTACTATTATCTGTTGTAGATACGTTTTACGAAATCCAATATTTTGTGGCAACCACAGTAAACATGGGCGAGGCCCACTCTATTATCCAGGAATTATATTCATGTAATTGAAAACAATTTGACCCCTATGATTTTTAAATTTTATTTTATGTTGAGTTTGCTTGTATTCATAAGGGAATATCGTCTGAAATTAATTAATTATTCAGATTGATATACTTGAGTTTATAAAATGATTGCACATGCATGACTTCATGCAAGGGAATGTGTGCATCATTGCATAATAAGAATGGATAAGTTGGCAAGAACGCAAGCAGTTACAGATATACCTGAGTTCGCACCACTACCTGATGTAGATCTGCGACTTCGGCTAATATTTAGTTTAGGAGTTGGTCGTGTCACTAGCACGTTAAGAGACCATACAATAAGTGTCAGGGGCCCGAGACTGTTCAACTGCCTCCCAGCATACATAAGGGGGATTACCAATAGACCCCTGGCAGTCTTCAAGCTGGCACTGGACAAGCACCTAAAGTCGGTTCCTGACCAGCCGGGCTGTGGCTCGTACGTTGGTTTGTGTGCAGCCAGCAGCAACAGCCTGGTTGATCAGGCTCTGATTCCACCAGGAGGCCTGGTCACAGACCGGGCCGCGGGGGCGTTGACCCCCGGAACTCTCTCCAGGTACTCAGAGTTTAATTGATAGTTTTAAAATATCCCGACAACAATAGTTATTGTTTGTGCAGAATGTTATTTTGGGAGATATTAGGGAAGAAAGACTTCATTATGGATCGACTGGAAATAAGTCACTTCGTCCGACTTTTTTTTTAGGGGGGGGGTAGCATAGGTAATCTACACATATGCTGCTATGTATGATAATTTATGTAACTGTATTTATGTGTATCTGTACCTGAATAAACTTAGTTAATTAATGTCGCGTCAGAACTAATAGTAGTTAGCAATGAGTTGTGTAACGAGTCTTACCAAACAAGATATTATCCATTATATACAAAGACGCTCCAGTGCCATATCAACTTTCACTATAGCAAGATTAACCTAGGTTAGGCTGGCTTACCTTGGGTTTCCATACATCAGATAAAGTTTCTGCATAACTAACGAAAATAAAACTTGTTTTACTTGTCTATTTAATATATTTTACAGACTTATTTTTGTCCTAGGTTAAATGTACAGGGTTTATATCGCAACTCATTTCAAAATGAAGCTCCCCAAGGATGCGACCCACTTCCTTGACTTACTTATTTCAACTTACTTTCTTGCTTACTTAACTATTTACCTCTGCATAAGCAGTTTTCCTTGCAGTGGCATCCAGTTTTGTATCAACTATGTATCGTGTAGAAATAAAATAATAATAATAAGTTGAGGAAGCATAGGGAACAAACGGATTTGACAGTTAAAAATAAGAGAGGAGAGTTATTAAATGGAGAGTTAGAAGTATCGGGAAGATGGAGGGAATATTTTGAGGAATTGTGTTGATGAAGATAGGGAAGCTGTGATTTCGTGTATAGGGCAAGGAAGGATAACATCTTGTAGGAGTAAGGAAGAACCAGTTGTGAGTGTGGGGGAAGTGAGACAGTGGGTAAAATGAAAGGGGGTAAGGCAGCTGGGATTGATGGGATAAAGATAGAAATGTTAAAAGCAGATGGGGATATAGTTTTGGAGCAGTTGGTGCTATTATTTAATAAATGTATGGAAGAGGGTAAAGTACCTAGAGATTGGCAGAGAGCGTGCATAGTTCCTTTGTATAAAGACAAAGGGGATAAAAGAGAGTGCAAAAATTATAGGGGAATAAGTGTTGAGTATACCTGGTAAAGTGTATGGTAGAGTGATTATTGAAATAATTAAGAGTAAGACGGAAAGTAGGATAGCAGATGAACAAAGAGGCTTTAGGAAAGGAAGGGGGTGTTTAGACCAAGTGGTTACAGTGAAACATATAGGTGAACAGTATTTAGATAAGGGCAAAGAGGTGTTTTGTGGCATTTATGGATTTGGAAAAGGCATATGACAGGGTGGATAGGGGGGCAATGTGGCAGATGTTGCAGGTGTATGGTATAGGAGGTAGAAAACTGAAAGCAGTGAAGAATTTTTACGAGGTTAGTGAGGCTCAGGTTAGAGTATGTAGGAAAGAGGGAGATTATTTCCCAGTAAAAGTAGGCCTTAGACAAGAATGTGTGATGTCACTGTGGTTGTTCAATATATTTATAGATGGGGTTGTAAGAGAAGTGAATGCGAGGGTCTTGGCAACAGGTGTAGAGTTAAAAGATAAAAAATCAAACACAAAGTGGGAGTTGTCACAGTTGCTCTTTGCTGATGGCACTGTGCTTTTCAAATTCAAAGTTTATTCTCTATAAAGATTACAATGTTGAATTTACAGAATTTGGTTGTTGTGTGGTTTACATGTAGTTAAATAATGATTACAGAGTGTACCACTAGAACGCCTAGCATGGCTAGGCATTTCGGGCAGACTTAGTTTAATTCTTTATTTTAAAATATTAAAAATTATGAGGTAAGTTGGTATTATGGCTAAGTGACTAAATACTAGTTTGTGAGTTTAGCAATGTGAATGCTTTTGTTTTGGCACAGTACATAGTTTCAGTATTGGAGTATCATAGAATTCATTATTTTAAGATTGAGATTAATATTTCTGTTCATGGTCAAATGGGTGAGTGAGTGTAAGTGTGAACCACCAGGTGGTATTCGTGTAGTTAGTTGATGGGGTTTATCAGGGAGATAAGATGTTTTCTAATGGTAGTTTTGAAGGTGATGAATGTGTCTGCAGTTCTAGAGTTCTCAGGTAGGGTGTTCCAGATTTTAGGGCCTTTGACATACATTGAATTTTTGTAAAGGTTTAGTCGGACATGGGGAATGTCGTAGAGATGTTTGTGTCCGGTGTTATGCCTGTGGGTTCTGTCACAACTATCAAGAAAGCGTTTTAGGTCAAGGTTGATATTGGAGTTTAAGGTCCTGTAGATGTAGATTGCACAGTAGTAAGTGTGGATGTACTGAACAGGGAGTAAGTTTAGATCTATGAAGAGTGGGGGGGTGTGTTGCCAGGGATGGGATTTAGTGATTATTCTTACTGCAGCTTTTTGTTGGGTTATTATTGGCTTTAGGTGTGTTGCTGCAGTTGATCCCCAAGCACAAATAGCATAGGTGAGGTATGGATAAATAAGTGAATGGTATAGTGTGAGAAGGGCATTTTGCGGCACGTAGTATCGTATCTTGGAGAGGATCCCAACTGTTTTGGATACTTTTTTGGTTATGTGTTGGATATGGGTGCTGAAATTCAGGTTGTTGTCAAGGTATAGGCCTAGGAATTTGCCCTCATTATGTCTGGTAATTAGAGTGTTGTCGATCTTAATGTTAATTTGTGCATATCCTGCTCTGCTACCAAACATAATATAGTAGGTTTTGTCAGTGTTAAGCGTAAGTTTATTGGTTGTCATCCAAGTCGATATTTTGATCAGCTCCTCGTTAACAATGGTGTTGAGGGTGGCAAGATTAGGGTGAGAGATGACATAAGTCGTGTCGTCAGCAAAGAGAATGGGTTTCAGGTGTTGGGATACGTTTGGAAGATCATTGATGTATATGAGGAAGAATTATTATTATATATTCATGGGGAAGCGCTAAACTGGAGGATTATACAGCGCTGGGGGGGGGGATGTGGAAGGCATTCAGGCTTTAATTTGGGTAACTGGAGCACAGATCCAATTCCCTAAATCAAAAGCCCTCACCAATCAAGGACCTTCCTTGATGGGGATATGAGGAAGAGCAGGGACCAAAGAACTTCCCTGCGGATCAGTATCCCATGCCGTGTTGTTGATGCTGTGTTTTAAGGTAACATACTGATACCTATTAGTAAGGTAAGATTTGAAATAAGCAAGCGCATGGCTCTATACCGTAATGTCATTTGTGGAGTAGGATGATCGTGGTCTACTGTGTCAAAAGCTTTTCTTAGGTCAATAAAATTTCCTAGTGGATATTCCTTATTTTCCAATGCTGTGTAAGCAGATCAGCATTTTTATGATTGCATCATTAGTGCTTTTATTTTTCCTAAATCCAAATTGGCAGGGGTTGAGTATGTTTTGTGCTGTTATAAATGAATATAGTCTCCTGTGCACGAGTTTCTCAAAGATTTTGGATAGCAATGGTAAGTTTGATATTGGCCTATAGTTGTTTAAGTCTGTAGGGTCACCACCTTTATGTATTGGTGTAACCCTTGCCATCTTGAGTAGTTTCGGGAAGGTGCTAGTTTCGAGTGACTTGTTAAAAAGTAATGAAATAGCATGCGAAAGGATATGGGCCGCTCGCTTGTACAGTAATGGTGGGACATCAGACAGATTCCCTGAGTTGTTTTTAAGTGACTTTGGGAGATTCTGAAGAGAAGTTGCAGAGGTTGGTGGATGAATTTGGTAGGGTATGTAAAAGAAGAAAATTGAAAGCGAATATAGGAAAGAGTAAGGTTATGAGGATAAAAAGATTAGGTGACGAAAGATTGGATATCAGATTGGAGGGAAGGAGTATGGAGGAGGTAAATGTATTCAGATATTTAGGAGTGGACGTAAACCTAGAAAATGTACAGAGAACTTTCACGGCGCGCATAACGGAGATAAAACACCTCAATTATTGGGAGCGCTTGAGGTTCCTAAACCTGTATTCCCTGGAACGCAGGAGGGAGAGATACATGATTATATACACCTGGAAAATCCTAGAGGGACTAGTACCGAACTTGCACACGAAAATCACTCACTACGAAAGCAAAAGACTTGGCAGACGATGCACCATCCCCCCAATGAAAAGCAGGGGTGTCACTAGCACGTTAAGAGACCATACAATAAGTGTCAGGGGCCCGAGACTGTTCAACTGCCTCCCAGCACACATAAGGGGGATTACCAACAGACCCCTGGCAGTCTTCAAGCTGGCACTGGACAAGCACCTAAAGTCAGTTCCGGATCAGCCGGGCTGTGGCTCGTATGTTGGTTTGCGTGCAGCCAGCAGCAACAGCCTGGTTGATCAGGCTCTGATCCACCAGGAGGCCTGGTCTCAGACCGGGCCGCGGGGGCGTTGACCCTCGGAACTCTCTCCAGGTAAACTCAGAAGTTGGGTCTATGGAGGATGAGGTGAATCATAGGATTGATGAGGGAAAAGGGTGAGGGGTGCACTTATGAGTCTGTGGAGACAAAGAACTTTGTCCGTGGAAGTAAATAGGGGAATGTATGAGAGTATAGTACCAACACTCTTGTATGGGTGTGAAGCATGGGTGATGAATGTTGCAGCGAGGAGAAAGCTGGAGTCAGTGGAGATGTCATGTCTGAGGGCAATGTGTGGTGTGAATATAATGCAGAGAATTCGTAGTTTGGAAATTAGGAGAAGGTATGGGATTATCAAAACTATTATCCAGAGGGCTGAGGAGGGGTTGTTGAGGTGGTTCGGACATGTAGAGAGAATGGAACAAAACAGAATGACTTCGAGAGTGTATAAATCAGTAGTGATGGGAAGGCGGGGTAGGGGTCGGCCCAGGTTGGGTTGGAGGGAGGGGGCAAAGGAGGTTTTGTGTGCGAGGGGCTTGGACTTCCAGCAAGCTTACGTGAGCGTATTTGATAGGAGTGAATGGAAACAAATGGTTTTTAATTCTTGACGTACTGTTGGAGTGTGAGCAAAGTAACATTTATGAAAGGATTTGGGGAAACTGGCATGCCGGACTTGAGTCCTGGAGACGGGAAGTACAGTGTCTACACTCTGAAGGAGGGGTGCTAATGTTGCAGATTTATAACTACAAAGCACCCCTCTGGCAAGACAGTGATGAAGTGAATGATGGTTTTCTTTTTCGGGCCACCCTGCCTTGGTGGGAATCGGCCGATGTGTTAATAAAAAAATAATAATCAATAATAATAATATAATAATAATAATAATAATAATAATAATAATAATAATAATAATAATAATAACAATAATAGTAAGATTATTATTATTATTAGTTCATGAATTTCTCTAGTAAGAGGAGTATGTATAAAGTGTGCGGTGTTAACAGTCCTGATAAATGTTAGGGAGGGGGTGAGGTTTAGTGCAGTAGCCACTAGCCAGCTGCTCCACCATGGTAGGGCGGCTGTGAGCTGGATCACTCAGACATGAATGACTTAACTCGTAAGGTGGACGCCTCCTTCTCTCCTAAATCTTCACCCCGAGGCTCCAGGTCACCCATGGCCAACCAGATGCTCTCCAGAAATGACTCCACAGGCACTCTGAAGATGACCATCTCTGCTGGCAAGCATCCTGCAGTGGTTCACTCTGGCCCATTCTACCTGATGAAAGTAGGTTAACAGTCAACTTTCGTTGAGGTTATCGCCCTGACTCGGTGCCTTGAGGCTGGCGAAAAGCTCTTGATCCAAGGAATTGAAGTTACCCCTCTAATTCCTTGATTGGATGACCCATACGAACTTAGCACTTCTCTTGAACTATAATAATCTTCCATGGATCAAACCTGATTCCCTTCTATTTCCCCTACCATTATAAAACTCGTATTAGTTTAATGCTTCCCCAAGCAAATACTAAATTTATTGAAGTCTTAAATCTAGTGAATATAGTTTTTACACAATATATTTATGCTTTTCAATGTAAGTGCCTTGATGCTGTTCCTCACAAATTTATCATCCAAATCGTACAGATTAGGAATGTGTGCTAATGTATATATGGTGGAAGGCAGCATAGGCGAGTTCATTGAAAGTTTTAAGGTTTGAATGGTGTTCTGAACAAAAAATGTCCTCTCTTCTATTTTTTTTCAAGTACTGTACTGTATTGAACTCTAGAACTTACATGAAATACGTCTTCACTTCTTGAGCAGTGGCTGCATAATGCTGACTTGTGTTGTTGCTGACTGTGCTATTTGTGCAATTATCACTTAGCTGCACACTAGTGAATTCACCCTTTGCACTACACAAATAGGTAATTACATTGCTGTTATTTTAAGTAAGGGGCTTCATTAGCCAGCATAATTAGAATTGGTTATGCATTGTTATTGTCTATGGTTTTAACCATCATTCCTACCATTTAAAAATAGTTTGATGCAAATTTAGTAAGAATACCTTTTAAAACAAACGATTAATCTGTGTGCAGTTTAGTATTACATAAATAATATCATAACTTACAATAATTTTTGTAATTGATGGAAGCCAGTGTCATTATTAAAATGTTATTTATGTATTGGTTACATCATTCATAGAATATTTTCATTCAGAGATAATTGCATTATATTTCATTTTCAGGACCCAGCCACAGAAAATGAATTGACGGGTGCAACAAACCTGATGGCGCATTTCAACCTGGAGCATTCCTATAACAAATTCACAGGCAAAAAAGTGAGCGACTATGTGTGCTTATTTATGTCTTACTTTGTCTCTACTGATTTGCTTTTCTTCCTTTTTATATGTCAGTTATTGTAGTTTCCTCTAATAATGTCAGTATTTGCATTCTGGTAAACTAATTAAATTAAGTGTTCAGTAATTATAAGGTAATTTTAAGGCTGCATGAAATGCTCTATATTTATACACTCCTTTTTACCCTATGTTAACTGTGCTATACTGTACTTTTATATAAATAAAGTTCTCATTGTTATTTGTCTTGGTAGTCACCGATCTTTTATGCTTGTCTCTTAATTTTGCACTGTGCTTGACGATATTCATGTCTCTCACTTAGCTTGGTTTTGCATTTTTTGCCTCTTGTTATTTGATTTGCAAAATTTTATATATTCTTGATGTGTTGATTTATAATGTCCAGGTTCATTACACATGAAGCCTTTTTTTCCTAGAGATTTCATCCAAAGTATATAGTATGGCACTTCTCTTAGTTTATTTTTAACTCCATTATTTTTTCACTAATTATTTCTTCATTCTTAATCATTTAGCTCCAACACTGTCTCATTAGCCTACTTGTATCTATGACTTAACAGTTTTGGCTGCTAAAACCCTCAAAAAATTTCCTTCTTTACCTTGATAATTCTTTGATATATGTTATGCTGTGAAGAAAATGATGAACTTGCCAAATTTGACTTTTTGTAAAAAATTGCCTACAAACCTTTGTAACATAAAGAAAATCAATGTACTCATTAGCTCCACTTTTGAGAAGATTGCCTACAATGTTTGCAACAATGTCTTGGTAACCAACCATATAATTTTGATCAAACTGGTCTTATTTTAAAAGCTGGTAAACATTTTTGTGTAAAAAACACAATTTTTGCTTGCTACACACTTTTCACACTGATGAGTGCATTGATTTTCTTCTTAACACCTCGTATAATTGATGTACATTCAAATTTTCTTCTTTAGACACAACCTTAAATTACAATACCATATTTCTACAAATACTAATTTAGTATGCTACTTGACCCGTTGAAAAAATGGCATTCATTTTATGCTTATATGGTAATCTTTTTTTTTTTTTTTTTTTTTTTTTAATGATATTATGTTGGTATGCTTAATATTTATGCAAAAACCCAAGGATATGCTATTTAAGCCATAGCATTAGTGATATTGATTGCAGATCCCTATGAATAGTGAAACATAATTTATTACATAATTTTCATACACACAGTCATGGTGTCAAGAAAGAATATAAGCTTCAGATGCTGGTATGATAAACACACTCATTATTTTTATATTGTATTTGTGATAAAACTCGCTGACTGTTTGTACTTTACTTCAGGTTCGAGACTCGTTATCATCCTTCTTGCCAACTCTTCCAGGCATTATTGATACACCAGCCCACCTCACAAATTCTTCACTCCGAACTCTTATTGAAAAGCCTCCAGTCTTTAAAGAATTTACTTTACTTAATCACCACCAGGTCTGTATAACTGAGCTTTGTCTTAGTGTTTTCCAATGTCCTCTCATATTTTGACAAAAAGAAACTTACATGATATTATCAGAATTCTCAATCTGAGTAGTTAGCCAAGATCATTTCATATAGTATTGTTATATTGCCAGCTCGCTGCTTTCCGGCTTCACCCTGGTCCCCTGCCTGAGCAATACCGCTTTATGAACCAGCCTCCTGGCCAAAGAAAACACAGAAAACACAAGAAACACAAGTACCGACCAGGAGAGACCCCTACCCAGGATGGCTCGGCAGATGGAGCTGATATGCACGAGAAGAAACACAAAAAGAAAAAGAATGATGATGATAAAGAAAGGAAGAAGAAGAAGAAAGAAAAGAAAAAGAAGAAGCAGAAGCACAGTCCAGAGCATCAAGGAGTTTCTGGCAGTGATCCCAGTAGAGTCACACTGTGACAGTGTTAAAATTAACAAGGGTAACTGACAGCTTACAAAGTTTACAAGAGTACCATATTTTTACATTTTTTTGCCTAAAAAAATCTTGCAAATGTGACATTACCAGTTTTTTTAACATTTATGAATAAAGTTTGCTATATTGTATGTTGATGAAAAGGATTCGTGTTTTTTATTTCACTGCTTATAAATACACCTACATACATTCACATCATTACAGCTTAGGTGTTGCAGAACTTCTTGATAGTACATGCATCAAAATGGAATTGTGGTACAGTACATCAAAATGGAAATGTACTGCTCATTAAAGATTTTTTTTTTTAATCTATGGATTCATAATTTATGAAATGTCTGGAAATAAATGTCTGGAATTAAACCTCATTATTCTCCACCCTTCTCATTACCCAAGCACTATACAATGAAAAGCTCATGAGCATCAAGGCAACTTCCTCTTCAAGGTGGGCTCCTTGATGTGGCAAAGAGGCTCTTGGTCTAAGGACTTAGACCCTTTGGTCTCCTTCCTCAGACCAAACCTAATTACCCCCAATCCTCTCTTCTCTATCCCATCCCCCCCCCTTTTTTTTCCTTTCCTCCCAACCCTCCCTTTTCCCTGTCCCATTTGTAGCCTCTGGGGTCCTCCCTTCTGGCATTACAGTTTCTAGGTAGGGGGAAGTATGCCAGGGTTTGTCCCACCCTGTGAGGTTCTTTGGGTTGGTGTAGTTTGCCGTGGAATCTGGATTACCTGGAGGCACCCTACACCCTTCCTGGATTTGCAAGAAGTGGGCGAGGTGTCCTGCAGGTGACTGGTGTATCTCCAGAGGCTGCCTGTTGGTTCTGGGAGGTTGCAGCTGAAGGAGGTATGCTTTGTGGTGGGTTTCTGACTGCCCTCTCTTCTGTCTGCTGAGGTGGCTTGGTAGATATGAGGTTGCTATCCCAGAGCACTGGTTTACTGATGTGAAGGGTAGGGTATGGCAAGGGTTCCACGCTGCATCTGCGCTACTTGCAGTCTCGAGGTCCTCTCGGATGAGGGGGAACTTACGGCCCTTTCATGCCTTTTAGTGACTGTCCCTCTGATGTAACTTTTTTCCCCCTCTTTTTTTTTCTTTAAAATAGTAAGAAAAGTACCAATATCATGGAGACTTAATTCTGTGATAACCCTCCTCCCAGGCCCCTTTCTGTTACCGCATCCTGTTCTGACCCGGCTTCATTACTGGACCATTCTCCAGGCTCTTCCCATACCCCTGTACCTTCTGCTGGTGACGCATAATCACCTGCTCCAGGTGCTGAGACGTCGCACCATATTCCCTGAATATGGTGCAACGGTTTTCGCATTGCCCACCTACCTGAAGTCAGGCCACCTGTGGTACTACGCTTAATTGTTCCAGACCATTTGCTGACGACGGTTCTTCGATGTCTGCTCATTCCATCCAAAAAAAGACCTACGCAACACCCACTTCCTTTACGCACCTTGTTTACAAGTATGCAGTGGACTAAGTTCTTTTCCCTACAACCGACATCAACTGGTTATCTTTCTAACCACATTATTGGTAAAGCTCTTTTACGACACAGCCAAAATATATCCTCTCACGCTGTTTGAACCGGTGCGCGCAGCACTACAGTTCAGAATGCAGAACATGCTCATGATCTTTCCCATCTTACTTTGAATGATAACATTCTAATCGCAGTTCACAAGCACACTACTCTCAATTCTTGCAGTGGTATGGTGGTTTTACCACATACCATTATACAGAGTGATTTCCTGTCTTGGAGTGATATTTTAGAGCAATTATCCCTTCAGCACTTTCCATTTCTCAAAGTGGATACATGCTTTCGCAGTAACATCACCTGCTTAACCTTTGATTACTGTGAACTCCCGTCCTCTGTTTATATCATAGGCCACCGCCTAGAGGTCCATAAAGTGGTCCCTATTCCCCAACTGTCGAAATTGCTGGTGCTTTGGACACCCAGCTAATACTGCAGATCTGTGGCGGAGTGCCTGATATGAGGTGCCGCAGATCATGCCAATACATCTTGCAGTCTTCCTCCCACTTGTCTCAATTGCAATGAACCTCATCATTTTTCCCACCGATATCGGGTCTATCTTAATGAACGAGAAATCTGTTGTCTTAAGGAGACTGAAGGCCTTATGCTATGGCTGTCTCTTGGCTCCACCTTCAAGGGAATCTTCGTGTCCCTTATTCTCAAGTAGCTAGGAGACCTCCAACCTTGGCGGTTACCCCGCCTATCAGCTCCTCCAATGTTGTGTCTTCCAGGGTTACCCCCAACTTAATTTTTTTGCAGTTTTACCATCTGAAACCCCCACCTTCTTACCTATTCCTACCTCTACTTCTTCTCACCTGGAGTATACCTGGAGAGAGTTCCAGGGGTCAACACACCTGCAGCCCGGTCTGTGACCACGGCTCATGGTGGATCAGGGCCTGATCAACCAGGCTGTTGCTGTTAGCAGCACGCAACCCGACGTACGAACCACAGCCTGGCTGGTCAGGTACTGACTTGAGATGCCTGTCCAGTGCCTGCTTGAAGACAGCCAGGGGTCTATTGGTAATTCCTCTTATGTATGCTGGGAGGCAGTTGAACAGACTTGGGCCCCTGACACTTATTGTGTTGTCTCTTATCGTGCTGGTGGTACCCCTGCTTTTCATTGGGAGGATGTTGCATCATTTACCAAGTCTTTTGTTTTCATAGGGAGTGATTTTCGTGTGCAAGTTTGGTACTAATCCCTCTAGGATTTTCCAAGTGAATATTATCACGTATCTTTCCCGCCTGTGTTCTAGGGAATACAGGTTGAGGAACTTCAAGCGTTCCCAGTAACTGAGGTGTTTTATCACAGTTGTGTACCGTGAATGTTCTCTCTACATTTTCTAGGTCAGCAATTCACGAAATATGGATCCCAGGTTACAACCTATACAGATGTGACAGAGTGAACAGGCAAAAGGGGGGGGAGGGGTTGGCCTGTACATTGCAGTCACTTGTTTGCACAGAACTGCTTAATGCCTCAAATGATGTAGCGGAAGTTTTAGCAGTAAAGGTTGCGAACCAAAACCTAGTCATTGTGGTAGTCTACAAGCCTCCGGATGCAACATCCCAGCAATTCCAGGAACAGCTGTTAAAAATTGACCACTGTCTGGAAAATCTTCCAGCTCCTGCACCCAACATCTTGCTCCTGGGAAATTTCAACTTAAGGCACCCAAAATGGAGGAATATAGCAAATAATATTGTTGCAGTAATAACACCAGGAGGCAGCTCTGATGAAAACTCACACTCACACGAGCTTTTAAATCTGTGCACAAAATTCAATTTAAACCAGCAAATAATAGAGCCTACTAGACTGGAGAATACACTAGACCTCATCTTCACTAACAATGATGATCTGATAAGAAATGTCACCATATCAAAAACAGATTAACTTGGTGGCACTCGATGTATGCACAAGGCTTATTCCTCTAAGAAAAAGGAGTAGATGTAAAATAGAAAGAGACAGGTGCTCCCTTTACAGGCGACGGAAAAGAATAACAGAGCGGCTAAAAGAGGTCAATATATCTGAAATGCGTAGGGAGACACTGGTCAGAGAAATAGCAAGCATTGAACTTATGCTAAAGGAATCTTATAGGAGTCAGGAATCGCGGGAAGAACTAAAAGCCATAAATGAAATTGAAAGAAACCCAAAGTATTTCTTCTCCTATGCCAAATCAAAATCGAGAACAACGTCCAGTATTGGGCCCCTACTTAAACAAGATGGGTCCTACACAGATGACAGCAAGGAAATGAGTGAGCTACTCAAGTCCCTGTATGACTCAGTTTTTAGCAAGCCGCTGACCAGACTGAGACTCGAAGATCAAAATGAATTTTTTATGAGAAAGCCACAGAATTTGGTTAACACAAGCCTATCGGATGTTATCCTGACGCCAAATGACTTCGAACAGGCGATAAATGACATGCCCATGCACTCTGCCCCAGAGCCAGACTCATGGAACTCCGTGTTCATCAAGAACTGCAGGAAGCCCCTATCACGAGCCTTTTCCATCCTATGGAGAGGGAGCATGGACACGGGGGTCGTCCCACAGTTACTAAAAACAACAGACATAGCCCCACTCCACAAAGGGGGCAGTAAAGCAATAGCAAAGAACTACAGACCGATAGCACTAACATCCCATATCACAAAAATCTTTGAAAGGGTCCTAAGAAGCAAGATCACCACCCATCTAGAAACCCATCAGTTACACAACCCAGGGCAACATGGGTTTAGAACAGGTCGCTCCTGTCTGTCTCAACTATTGGATCACTAAGACAATGTTCTAGATGTACTAGAGGACAAAAAGAATGCAGATGTAATATATACAGACTTTGCAGAAGCCTTCAACAAGTGTGACCATGGCATAATAGCGCACAAAATGCGTGCTAAAGGAATAACAGGAAAAGTCGGTCGATGGATCTATAATTTCCTCACTAACAGAACACAGAGAGTAGTCGTCAACAGAGTCAAGTCCGAGGCAGCTACGGTGAAAAGCTGTTCCACAAGGCACAGTACTCGCTCCCATCTTGTTCCTCATCCTCATATCCGACATAGACAAGGATGTCAGCCACAGCACCGTGTCTTCCTTTGCAGATGACACCCGAATCTGCATGACAGTCTTCCATTGCAGACACTGTAAGGCTCCAGGCGGACATCAACCGAATCTTTCAGTGGGCTGCAGAAAACAATATGAAGTTCAACGATGAGAAATTTCAATTACTCAGATATGGTAAACACGAGGAAATTAAATCTTCGTCAGAGTACAAAACAAATTCTGGCCACAAAATAGAGCGAAACACCAACGTCAAAGACCTGGGAGTGATCATGTCGGAGGATCTCACCTTCAAGGACCATAACATTGTATCAATCGCATCTGCTAGAAAAATGACAGGATGGATAATGAGAACCTTCAAAACTAGGGAGGCCAAGCCCATGATGACACTCTTCAGGTCACTTGTTCTATCTAGGCTGGAATATTGCTGCACACTAACAGCACCTTTCAAGGCAGGTGAAATTGCTGACCTAGAAAATGTACAGAGAACCTTCACGGCGCGCATAACGGAGATAAAACACCTCAATTACTGGGAGCACTTGAGGTTCCTAAACCTGTTTTCCCTGGAATGCAGGCGGGAGAGATACATGATTATATACACCTGGAAAATCCTAGAGGGACTAGTACTGAACTTGCACACGAAAATCACTCACTACGAAAGCAAAAGACTTGGCAGATGATGCAACATCCCCCAATGAAAAGCAGGGGTGTCACTAGCACGTTAAGAGACCATACAATAAGTGTCAGGGGCCCGAGACTGTTCAACTGCCTCCCAGCATACATAAGGGGGATTACCAACAAACCCCTGGCAGTCTTCAAGCTGGCACTGGACAAGCACCTAAAGTCGGTTCCTGACCAGCCAGGCTGTGGCTCGTACGTTGGTTTGCGTGCAGCCAGCAGTAACAGCCTGGTTGATCAGGCTCTGATCCACCAGGAGGCCTGGTCACAGACCGGGCCGCGGGGGCGTTGACCCCTGGAACTCTCTTCAGGTAAACTCCTCTCCAGGTACCTTGAAAGGTGCTGTTAGTGTGCAGCAATATTCCAGCTTAGATAGAACAAGCGACCTGAAGAGTGTCATCATGGGTTTGACATCCCTGGTTTTGAAGCTTCTCATTATCCATCCTGTCATTTTTCTAGTTTCTCAGTCTGCAAGGCCTCGCATACCTGCATCTTCACGTCTATCACCTGCGAAGTTGAACCTGTCTCATAAGCCCAAGTCTCTTCGCATTCCTCCGGCGCTTACAATCCCCCAACAGTTTTCCTTTTCGGCCTCAGTGCCTAGTTCTCACCACCTTTCTAACTCTCACACGAAGGTGGAGGTTCACCTCCCTCGTGTAGTCCTCTCTTCTACTGTTCCTCCCCCAGACTTCTTTCCCAGTTACCTTCCAGCCTCCTTCCTTTCCTGTGCCACTGCAGGACTCTTCTGTCCCCACCAGCGCATCTCTCTAGGTTCATATTCCCTTCCCCTCTCAGACCTCTTTGGTTCCCTCCATAGTCCCTCAATCTCGACTTGCTTTACCTCACTTGTCTCTGAAGTCATGGTATTGGCATCTTCCGTATCCGCTGGGACACTTGACGCTATCTCCCACTATACTGTGGAGACGAAACCCTCGATGGACACCGGCACCCCTCCTTCTACCCCTTCTTATTTCTCACGACCCTCGCAGCAATCTTTTCCTTCACAGCATTCTGATTCCTCTATGTTTACACCTTCCAGCTCCTGCACCCAACATCTTGCTCCTGGGGGATTTCAACTTAAGGCACCTAAAATGGAGGAATATAGCAAATAATATTGTTGCAGTAATAACACCAGGAGGCAGCTCTGATGAAAACTCACACTCACGCGAGCTTTTAAATCTCTGCACAAAATTCAATTTAAACCAGCAAATAATAGAGCCTACTAGACTGGAGAATACACTAGACCTCATCTTCACTAACAATGATGATCTGATAAGAAATGTCACCATATCAAAAACAATATACTCAGATCACAACATAATTGAGGGTTTAGTCATGTATGCGCGGAGCCCAGACCGACATAATGAGATTAGTCACGAGGGAGCATTCACCAAATTCAACTTCAATAACAAAAACATAAAGTGGGACCAAGTAAACCAAGTCCTAACCGATATAAGCTGGGAAGATATACTAAGCAACACAGACCCCAACTTATGCCTAGAACAGATTAACTCGGTGGCACTCGATGTATGCACAAGGCTTATTCCTCTAAGAAAAAGGAGGAGTAGATGTAAAACAGAAAGAGACAGGCGCTCCCTTTACAGGCGACGGAAAAGAATAACAGAGCGGCTAAAAGAGGTCAATATATCTGAAATGCGTAGGGAGACACTGGTCAGAGAAATAGCAAGCATCGAACTTAAGCTAAAAGAATCCTTTAGGAGTCAGGAATCGCGGGAAGAGCTAAAAGCCATAAATGAAATCGAAAAAAAACCCAAAGTATTTCTTCTCCTATGCCAAATCAAAATCGAGAACAACGTCCAGTATTGGGCCCCTACTTAAAAAAGATGGGTCCTACACAGATGACAGCAAGGAAATGAGTGAGCTACTCAAGTCCCAATACGACTCAGTTTTTAGCAAGCCGCTAACCAGACTGAGAGTCGAAGATCAAAATGATTTTTTTATGAGAGAACCACAAAATTTGATTAACACAAGCCTATCCGATGTTATCCTGACGCCAAATGACTTCGAACAGGCGATAAATGACATGCCCATGCACTCTGCCCCAGGGCCAGACTCATGGAACTCTGTTCATCAAGAACTGCAAGAAGCCCCTATCACGAGCCTTTTCCTTCCTATGGAGAGGGAGCATGGACACGGGGGTCGTGCCACAGTTACTAAAAACAACAGACATAGCCCCACTCCACAAAGGGGGCAGTAAAGCAACAGCAAAGAACTACAGACCAATAGCACTAACATCCCATATCATAAAAATCTTTGAAAGGGTCCTAAGAAGCAAGATCACCACCCATCTAGAAACCCATCAGTTACACAACCCAAGGCAACATGGGTTTAGAACAGGTCGCTCCTGTCTGTCTCAACTATTGGATCACTACGACAAGGTCCTAAATGCACTAGAAGACAAAAAGAATGCAGATGTAATATATACAGACTTTGCAAAAGCCTTCGACAAGTGTGACCATGGCGTAATAGCGCACAAAATGCGTGCTAAAGGAATAACAGGAAAAGTCGGTCGATTGATCTATATTTTCCTCACTAACAGAACACAGAGAGTAGTCGTCAACAGAGTAAAGTCCGAGGCAGCTACAGTGAAAAGCTCTGTTCCACAAGGCACAGTACTCGCTCCTATCTTGTTCCTCATCCTCATATCCGACATAGACAAGGATGTCAGCCACAGCACCGTGTCTTCCTTTGCAGATGACACCCGAATCTGCATGACAGTGTCTTCCATTGCAGACACTGCAAAGCTCCAGGCGGACATCAACCAAATCTTTCAGTGGGCTGCAGAAAAGAATATGAAGTTCAACGATGAGAAATTTCAATTACTCAGATATGGTAAACATGAGGAAATTAAATCTTCATCAGAGTACAAAACAAATTCTGGCCACAAAATAGAGCGAAACACCAACGTCAAAGACCTGGGAGTGATCATGTCGGAGGATCTCACCTTCAAGGACCATAACATTGTATCAATCGCATCTGCTAGAAAAATGACAGGATGGATAATGAGAACTTCAAACTAAGGAGGCCAAGCCCATGATGACACTCTTCAGGTCACTTGTTCTATCTAGGCTGGAATATTGCTGCACACTAACAGCACCTTTCAAGGCAGGTGAAATTGCCGACCTAGAAAATGTACAGAGAACCTTCACGGCGCGCATAACGGAGATAAAACACCTCAATTATTGGGAGCGCTTGAGGTTCCTAAACCTGTATTCCCTGGAACGCAGGAGGGAGAGATACATGATTATATACACCTGGAAAATCCTAGAGGGACTAGTACCGAACTTGCACACGAAAATCACTCACTACGAAAGCAAAAGACTTGGCAGACGATGCACCATCCCCCCAATGAAAAGCAGGGGTGTCACTAGCACGTTAAGAGACCATACAATAAGTGTCAGGGGCCCGAGACTGTTCAACTGCCTCCCAGCACACATAAGGGGGATTACCAACAGACCCCTGGCAGTCTTCAAGCTGGCACTGGACAAGCACCTAAAGTCAGTTCCTGATCAGCCGGGCTGTGGCTCGTACGTTGGTTTGCGTGCAGCCAGCAGCAACAGCCTGGTTGATCAGGCGCTGATCCACCAGGAGGCCTGGTCACAGACCGGGCCGCGGGGGCGTTGACCCCCGAAACTCTCTCCAGGTAAACTCCAGGTATGTGTAAATTAGCTAGGATAACTTAAAAAAAGTTAGACTGACTTATTTTCATTGGGGTTCTTGTTATATCTTATTATTTAAAGCCTAGCAGTAAGTTACAGTAGAAATCAATAATAAATTTTAAGTCTTGTTCAAAATGCTATGCATCCCTAACATGACTCACGAAATCGTAATGACACGATTGCAAATAAACCATACCACGGGTGGGTTCAGTCCCCGCCCGTGGTATGGTTTGCTATGTATTCTATGGATCTCCAAATTATTGTATGTTTTGTACAGTATTTTTTAAATATACATATGCATTTTATATTGTAACATATTTTTGTATGCCTGTACAAAAAAATTAACACAATTGCGCGTTGCATTCGTTCCAAGATAACGGTGTTGTGTTTTGTTAACATCCAAAATAACAATTTGCACGAGCAGTAACTATTGTTATCGGGATGTGCAGAACTTGCTTGTACTAAAAAAAATAAAAAAGATTGAAATTAAAGCTGAGTTCGGACCACACCTTAAACTAAATATTAATGTTATTTTCTGTGCTATTATGTCGTCTTTTGGGAGTTTGTTTATGAATTATATTTTTAACATTGCCTTTTTTTTTGGTTTTTAAATATTTGAGTTTGCTTATAATTTATTTTTTTTTGGGTGGTATTTTTTGGCTATTAAATATTTGAGCTTGCTTAGTAATTATATTGTAGTGGTATTTTTTTTATTAAATATTTGAGTTTGTTTATTTTTTTTTTTTTTTTTTTATTTTATTTAAAATACAATACATAGCTTAACATAAAAACCCTTAAACTAGGGTTGATACACATTGTATATAAACACATTTTGAAAACAATCTCTCAGAACGTACAATAGCAAATAAACACAATATTAACAAACACAAGAGGTTACACAATTATACTAGAAAATATCGCTTGTGACAAAACATAACATTAAGAAGATGGGCAATCTTAACCCTATGTACACAAGAACAACAACAAGAACATAACATGTAGGTGACCCCTGTAGCAGGTTCAATAATATAAATAAAACCATAATCCCTTCGGGTATACACTATTTACATAATATACTGGGACATTGCCAATGCACAATACAGTTTGTTTATTAGTTACATTTTAGTGATACTTTTTTAGGTTATAAAATATTTGTGTTGGTAGATATGTTTACATTGTTAGGTTGGCAGCCGTGGTCACCTCCTTGTTCAAAAGGTAGTCGAGGCAACAACAGTAGCCTTTCTTGCCTTATTTGCAAGATATGCAAGTCATTTTCGTGCTGTTAGTGTGACAGCAGGCGCACAGGATGGTGGAGACACTAGAGGGTAAGTGGTGTTACTGTTATTAATGTCTTGTGAGCAGTTGATGGCGATATATATGAAGCTCCCACACGAAACTTAGGCTGTTGTTACTTGTGTTTGCTTGGATGAGAATAAACACCGAGAGTTCTGTTTTTCTCGGCGAATATATGTTGAGAATTTGCTTAAATCCCTATTTAAGGGATTAAATTAATATTTGGTGCTGAAAAGGTTACATGCAGCCTTAACCTAAGTGAAGTTGATTGGTTTTAAACTTCAACCCTACTGTAGTTTAGCATTAAACCATAATTATTGTGTTTACTCTCTCTTCAAGATTTTTTTTCTCGTCGGAGGTTCAGCGATGTTGGTGAGGGGATTTTGGTCCGAGGAATTGGATTACCTTCTCATTCTGCATGACCCTAACGTAGTTTGCCTTTCCCTATTGAATGTAAGATAATATAAATATAGGTGTGGGGTTACTAAAAGTATTATCCAGAGAGCTGGGGAGAAGCTATTGAGGTGGTTTGAATATTAAGAGATTGGAGCAAGGACTACAGTGGAAATAAGTCACTTTGCCTGACTTTTTTGGTTATACTAGGTAATTTACACATGTTGCTGTGTATGATAATTTATGTAGCTGTATTTGTGTACCTATACCTGAATAAACTTAAGAGGGTGTATGAATCTGTAGTAGAGGAAAGGTTAGGTAGGGACCAGCCTAGGAAAGATTGAAGGGAAGTGGTAAAGGAGGTTTTGTATTGGGTGAGTGGAAAAGTGTCTTTTTATGGCATGCTGTGTGAGTGTGAGCAGGGTAAAATTTATGAAAGAATTCAGGGAAAACCTGTTAGCTGGGCCTGACTTCTGGAGGTGGAAAGTAAAATGCCTACACTCTAAAGGAGGGCTGGGGACATTTGCAGTTTGGAGGGTCATCCGAACTGTAATATTGGTGTGCCTCTGGCAAGACAGTGATGTGAGTGATGATAAAAGTATTTCTTGTTTTCTGGGCCACCCTACCTTGGCAGGAGATGACTGGTGTGTTAAAAATAAACCTGTGTAACAATGTTGTGCAACTGTAAAAATTTATCAGTATTATAATAAATAATAAAAGGCCTACAGGTGTTAAATATGCAAGAAATGAAAGTAAATTTAGGATAACATTTAATTATGTATTAATGTAAATTAATGGTTGAATGGGCAAGACAAAAATCATAGAAGAATAATAAGCATAGTAATAATGATTGTAGTGAATAAAGATAGCCACTAAATAAAAAAAAAAATTGGGGCAGAATTAAAGAAGAACAGGAGGATTAAATGATGTAATTGTTAAGATGGTGGTATACTGTATTTGATATGAATTAAAGAAATTTGTTATTATACTTTGAGTGATTTACGTAAAATATGATTGTACTTTTTATACCAGTGGTTCTAAACCTCTTTTGGGTTGCATCCCCTGTTGCAGCTGGTCCTCTAAATGTTGAAAATTAAGTTTTATTTACTGTAGGGCATTTAATTGACAGCTGTAATTTCTTTATTTTACATCTAGTGGATCCCTTTCTTTACAGTATTTGAGTCATGTTAATTTTACACAATTTTTGCAGGACACTTGTTGGAAGATTGGGCCATGGCTCGCACTTCAACAGGGGTTCCATACTATGCTAAGTAAGTATTTCAGTAATTGGTAAACAAATTGCATTTAATTTTTTCAACTAATTGAGTATTATTTAGAAAATTATAATTATAGTTTATACTGTAGAGGCACTCCTCACTTAACGACCTACCTGTGTAACAACCACTTGGACTTATGACCCGCTGTCTGACCAGTCAGTATTGTATGCTGTGCGAGAATTTCGGTCCTGAAAATGGCAGTGTCAGCATCAAGCATCAGTGTCTCGCTCCTGCAGTCATTCAACTCCCTACACTAACATTCACAATCTACAAGACTACAGTGGAACCTCGGTTTTCGTTTGCTCTGGTTTTCGTCTAATTTGGTTTTCGACTTTTTTCGTCAAAATTGTCCCAGTTTTCGTTCATCACCTCGGTTTTCGTCATGTTGACAGTGGTCCGCCATACCAAACGTGTCTGCCCACACAAAGCATCCCACACATTGAGTCAGTTTGGCTTTGTTTCTCGTTAGTAGAGGTGGTAGCGATAACCCCGCCTCTCTCTCCCCTCCTCGCCGTCTTTCATATGCCAACAAGTCTTCAATAAAGTTAATGATGTTAAATGTTCATTCATCCATTTCATTAGTCCTTTATATTTATTTCTCATTGTTTTCTGTATGTAAAACTATAGTTATTCTCTATAAAATGTATTTTTTCGTAATAATTTTGGGTTGTCTGGAACAGATTAATTGGATTTACATTATTTCTCATGGGAAATATTGCTTCAGTTTTCGTTGAATTTGGTTTTCATCAGACTTTCTGGAACAAATTAATGATGAAAACCAAGGTTCCACTGTACATATATCATCTATAGATTTGTACTCTGTTGTGCACCCCATAGTACAAGATGTTAGCAAAAAGGAAGAGCATGACTTCACCTGAATGAAGCACCAAGAAACAAAGGAAGGTTATCGCTCTTGAGATGAAAATGAAGATCATAGGTGACTATGAAGCTGGTAAGAAAGTTAGTGATATCCCGTGACTTGAAGCTAGTGCATTCGACCATTTCTAAGATCTTGATGGATGGTGACGAAGGCAGTGAAAGCATCGACAGGATTTAACCCCTTCAAGGTCCAAGGCCCAAATCTGAAGTGGTACCCCAGTGTCCAAGAATTTTCAAAAAAAAAATTTATTTTTTCTTATGAAATGGTAGAGAATCTTTTTGCGAAGGTAATAAAACAAAAAGTATGAAATTTGATGGAAAATTGACGAAATTATGCTCTCGCGAATTTTGATGTGTCAGCGATATTTACGAATAGGCGATTGTGCCGACTTTGACTCCCATTTTAGGCCAATTACATTATTCCAGTCAACCAAATTCTTAGCTATTTCACTAGTATTACTTCTATTCTATCGATTGAGCACAAGGAATCGCCAAGTCAACCGTTTCAACTACAAATTAAAGTGATCGGAAATTGTTAATTTGGCCAATTTAACACAGTTCAAAATATTCCAATTTCAAAATAGGGTCCAGAATAAACAATGTAGGTATTCCTGGAACTAAACTAACATTTCCTCTGTTCATTAGTTATGTTTTGAGGCTTTACAAATAAATTCCATTTTGATTTTTTATTCATGTAATGAATTTTTATTCACACCAAAAAATAGAAGATTTACTGTTATGCAATACTATAATAATTGTATAAATATCATCACCATATTTGTGAATGCATATTGGACCCACCAGCTGGCGTGTATTAGACGTGTGAGGTCGTTTGTTTACTCTTGAATATCGGCAAAAATTTAACATTTCTGCTACTTTGAGCTCGGTTTCAAGCCATTTCCAGTGCTAAAACCAATCAAAATCATCTCTATTTCTGTAATATGTCTCTCATTCTATCAAATGAGACCAAGAAATCGCAAATACAACTATAAAAAACATACGAAAAAACACTGCAAAGTCGCTGTTTTAATTGAAAAATCATGATTTCATTTTTTTTTCTCTCATTATACACAGTGTGCTGCAGGATCTGTTTTATGTGGTGCACACATACCACATAGATGTATTCTCTCATATCTAGGCCCAAATGTACCACTCACAGTTTATCAGAGCGAGCCGAGCTCATGACGTAGATCTACAGTTTGGACCCTGAACGTAAAGCCGTAGATCTACTAGATGGACCCTGAAAGGGTTAATGCCGTAATAACTAGGCAGCGGAAAGGCCTCATTCACGAAATGGAGAAATTACTGCAATCTGGTTTGATGACCATATACAAAAAATGCCAATGAGCCTTTTAATAATTAAAGCCAAGGCACGCAGTATCTTTGAGGCTTTGAGGGCATGCGAAGGCAAAAAAGCAACAGATTTCCTCTAGTCAGTTTATTACAGTATACGTACAGTGCTGTATAAACATTTAAAAATTTACTAAAAATGTTATAAATGATGCAAAGGTGACATTAAAATAAATCTAAAGAAGATAGTTGACACAAACCTACTACCATTACAGTATGCTTGAAATACAGTGGACCCTCGACATTCGATACTAACCTGTTCCTGAGAGCTATTGAATGTCGAAAATATCGAAAGTCGTATTAATTTTCCCCATAAGAAATAATGGAAATCAAATTAATCCGTGCAAGACTCAAAAGTATGGAAAAAAAAAAAAATTTCACGTGAAATATTAAGTTTAATGCAATAGAATAATTACAATAACAATAACAAAAGATTAATAACAATAGAATAATTGACACTTACCTTTAATGAAGATCTGGTGATGATTGATGGGATGGGAGGAGGGGAGAGTGTGGATGGTGTTAGTGTTTAGAAGGGGAATCCCCTTCCATTAGGACTTGAACTGGGAGCCTCACCATGCCTTACCACACTGTGTATGCCACTACAATTCTTAAATCTTTCAAACCAACCTTTGCTGGCCTTAAATTCACTCACATCACCACTAGTTGCAGGCAATTTCTTTACCAAATCATCATGCACTCCGACACACGCACTCCACTTTCGTACTTTGCAATTATCTCTTTCGCCATTTCAATAGTCATTAGCACCTTTTTTCTCGAAGGGTTGGCACTAGAAGCTTTCTTGGGGGCCCATGGTTACTTACTTTGCAGAAACAAGCACCAAAAACAGTGATAATATGGAATGTACTGAATGTATCCTTAGATGTGCGCACACTGGCTGGCTTGTAAACACTGGCACACATGGGGCAGTTCAGGCCACATGTGGATATGTCTCGTACGAATCGTATCGAATGTTGGGTTTTCCATCGAATGTCGAGGCGAAATTTTTGCGTTAAAATGCATCGAATGTCGGATTTATCGAATGTTGGGGGTCCTCTGTATTGGTAAGGGGTGGCTTCTCGCTTATCGACCAATTCATTTAACATCCTACTCGTAGGAACTGAAATCGGTCGTTAAGTGAGGAGTGCCTGTACGGTAAACAACCACATTTCATGTGAGATGTGTTCCAAAAAAAATGTTACATGCGAAAATATGGAGTGAAAAAACTTGTGGAAAAAAATAGGTTACATTTGGTCCCACCTTCGAAAAAAACCCAAACAACTTTTTTTAAAACCTAATTCGCCTAAAATAATAAACTAAGTATTGTACGTACAAGGATTTTAAACGACAAGCAGATGCTATGCGTTCATTAAAGCATGTTGTGTATTACAGGATGATTTAACTTAGCATAACCTAAGAAGGTCTACCTGACAAGTGTATTGCTGGTAGCACAAACAGTACAGGGACACTGGTAGGCTTGACAAGACACTGACTTCTGACAGAGCTGGTTTTAGGTGGCTTCTCCTAGCTGGGATGGCTTACTGATTGCTTCCTTAATGCAACAATTAGTTCATTGAGACTACTGAAATACTTGCAAAACATGCACACACACAATTTGAAGACAGGGCAAATGAATAGCTGACTGGCTTAAGCTATCTTCTAGAGATTGGCTAAACCTGACTTGGCTTAATTGCATAACCCAGGTCTTTCCCTCGCAGGCTGCATGCACTAAGCCACTTGCACTGAGCAACAAGGACAAGATGATGATGGTTGGATGTAGAGGTGAGAAGCAGTGAGGGAACAGTCCGGCTTGGCTTGACTTCCCTGCAGGCCATATTAAGTCCCCCTTAGCTTTATCACTCGTTAACCACATAATTCAAAGGCTTATGTAAACACTGCTGATACCATTTGTTGGGGTCCATTCTTGAATAGTGAGGTAGCAATAACATTAATAGGTGGACTGTTAAGGTGTATTGACGAACAGAGATGGAGCCCAGCCTAGTGTACATCTGCCATTTATACCGGCCTGATCTGGACTGAAGAACGCTTGCTGGGCCGGAGGCCTAGGCGGGGGTGTTCAAGTTTAATCAATGACACCACAGTAACAAACGAAGAGGCCCACATAAGGAGGAACACACAGGGAGTACATATTACTGACAGCTGTCCCAGACCGCAGACCTGGCTTGGGCGCCATCCCAGACTGCAGACCTGGCTTGGGCGCCGTCCCAGACTGCAGACCTGGCTTGGACGCCGTCCCAGACTGCAGACCTGGCTTGGGCGCCGTCCCAGACCGCAGACCTGGCTTGGGCGCCGTCCCAGACCGCAGACCTGGCTTGGGCGCCGTCCCCAGACCGCAGACCTGGCTTGGGCGCCGTCCCAGACCGCAGACCTGGCTTGGGCGCCGTCCCAGACCGCAGACCTGGCTTGGGCGCCGTCCCAGACCGCAGACCTGGCTTGGGCGCCGTCCCAGACCGCAGACCTGGCTTGGGTGCTGTCCCAGACCGCAGACCTGGCTTGGGCGCCGTCCCAGACCGCAGACCTGGCTTGGGCGCCGTCCCAGACTGCAGACCTGGCTTGGGCGCCGTCCCAGACTGCAGACCTGGCTTGGGCGCCGTCCCAGACTGCAGACCTGGCTTGGGTGCCGTCCCAGACCGCAGACCTGGCTTGGGCGCCGTCCCAGACTGCAGACCTGGCTTGGGCGCCGTCCCAGACTGCAGACCTGGCTTGGGCGCCGTCCCAGACTGCAGACCTGGCTTGGGTGCCGT